GAGACAGCACACGAAACCGGGGGGCGCGAGAGGGCGGCGCCATCTGGTCGAATGGGCACGGGGCGACGAACCTTTCGGCGCAGCGCTGCGCGCGTCTCGGGAACAACGGTGGTCTCGCAGGAACCGATGCCCCATGGCCCCGCCAGCGCGTTGGGCTTGCATATCGGGCTGGCGTGGAGAACGTCGTTGGCCGTGACGGCCCGCCGCGACGACCTCATCGCGAACGGGGCCCGCGGCCGCGCCTTCCGCTGCTTCGCCGAGATGGCCCCCGCCGAAGGCCTGGCATGTCCGCGGGCACGTCGTGCCGCGTGGTGCAACCTCTCCAACTCTTGTTCCGCAGCCGGATGTTGCACCGTGCCCACCCAGGCTTGAAAAGGGGAAGATGGGGCGATGGGAAGAACTCCGTTCGCAGTGATGTGCGCGCGTGTCCGAGGCACCTCCGAGGCGCTGCAGACCTTCTCCGCCAAAGTGGCGTCCTGTCGCCAAATCTCGCGGGCCATCTGCCGAGGGAATCTCCGTTGGGCCTCAGTGCTCTGAGGGTCGTCCGCGAGGAGCTGCTGGGGCGCGTCGAGAGCAGGGCTTCCATGAGATCGCTGTATATTTCAAGCTGACGTGGCGGCGGCAAGGAAGAGAATGGCGGTTCGTCCTGTCGTTCAAAAGAATAATGCAGGCGAGCGTGGAACTCGGCGCGCTTCTAGATCATGGACGGGACCGACTTGCGATCATTATCCACCTGATGATGTTGGACATGTGCTCGAAATGCGGCATGGTCAGATATTACTCGAGCTGAGAGATCCTCGTTGGCAGAGGCCACGGTCGCCCAATGTGACAATTCACAGGATGCCCACATAAGTTCGGGAAGCCAGAGACGACCCAGCTGCGCCAGCGTCTGCGTCTCTGCACAAACGGGCGGGCTCCCCAGTAGCGATCTCGAGCGCGTGGCTTGACGTCGCCATCCAAGCCTTCGTGCGCGCGCGCGTTGTCGGCAGCTTCAGGGCGCAATGGCTGGAGAGGATCGTGGCGGGCACCATTGAGGCCCCCGCGAATCGCCGCAAGCCTCGAGCTGGAGTCCTATTGGACCCACTCCAAATCAAATGTCAGTTCCGTTGAATCTTCCGCCAAATCAGCGACGGAGACGCAGTGGCCACGAATGTTGTCATGGCGAACCTCTGACCGCGAGCGTGCAGAGCCGCCTGGGGCACTCTCCCCGCAATGAGTGTCGACGAAGCAGCAGAATCAGGCGATGGCATGGCCTTCGGGGCCGCTGTCGCCGCGCCATCGCGAGCGCGCCCATCTCGATCGACCTCGGAGGATCCGAAGGCAACGGGGGGCGGCGCCACCCTGCGCGCAAGGCGCGGGAGCTCGCCATGCGTTGGATGGACTTCTTGGCTCGCAAACGCCGAGTCTGTGATCCCAGGGCTCTGCGGGCGCGCCGCTTTCGCCGTGGCTTGAGCGCCGCGCGACCGTGACGGCGCCTTCGCATTCCACGAGGTGAACGACCCCCCAGGCTAGATGCTCTCCCGCCTTCTTTCCACCCTCGCGAACATGTCTTTGCGAGTGCTAGACAGACCGCCCTGGCGCGGCGCTGGGTTCCAGGCCGCGTTCGACGCGGCGCAGCGCGCCGGCGCGGGCCCGCCCGCGAGACGCGAGGGCAGTATCGCGCCAATAACGCAAGATCAGATCACGACCAACTTGCGGCTCCAGGCGAAGAATCGGGCCCCGGCGCTCCGTGGTCCATTCGTTCTGGCGGTCGAAGAAGAAGTTTGCACCATTATGCTGACCACGAAGCTCAATCACCACTTTGCTGCCAGTACTCTCCAACTTGATCTGAGAGGGGCTTCTGTCGGGGCCGACGTGGATGGAGCTGGGTGGATCCACCAGAAGCAGCAGGAACGGGGCAGCTCGCCCGCTGGTCTTTCCCAAGGACTCGGCGTCCAACAACTGCCACTGTGCCCGTGAACTGGAGCGTGGAGATGCGGTCCAGAACCTCGCCGTTCAGATTGCAGCCATCGATAGTCGCATCCTTAGTGGGCGAGGCTACATAAACTCTCTTGACGATAGTGGGTGCCACGATCTTCAGACTGGTACCGCCGAGTTCGCGTTGAACCCAGCACTGGGCGGCTTTTGAAGAGGTAGCGCCCGATGTGCGAGTGCCAACTCTCCTAGTATCTCGTCCATCAAGGGTCGAACTTCAACCATGTCAGCTGCAATCTTGCCAGATCTGCCATCGACCGTTTCCATCGAGACAGCGAGAATGTCGAGCTGGGCCTGGAACAGTTTCCCGAGCGCGTTTATATATGGCCTGAGTGGTGCTTCCACTTGAGCTTTGCATGTGCTTAGGGCAGCTTGAACAATAACTTCCGCCGCTTTGATCGCCGCCATGACGGGGTCGACCGCTCGGCCTGCCGCAAGCGCTGGTCGTGGCTGGGGCCATCTCTGCGAGCTCTACCTCGAGCGACTTGAACTCTGCACCCGACTTTTCGTCGATGGGATCCTTGATGTGCGTGGGTCCCACCCAGATGGACCCATTCCATCCTCATCGTCAATGTCGGCACGGCTGGAGCGAGACCTGTCGTCCTCGCGCGCATTTGCGGCAGCGTCAGGGCGAGAGCCATCGCGAACATGACCACCCAGCCGAGCAGCAACAGCAAGGACCTTCCGGTCCTGGTTCTTCCAGCTCCATTTGTAAAGATGGGCGCGCTTAGGCGGACAGGAACGGGAAACTCCACCGTTTACCCACCAAACACTCTGCGGGAGGTGGTCCTTGCTCCGACAGGAGCTCACTGGAATATGGAATCTGTCCGAGGACTAGCTGTATCCTGCTTGCCCCCGCGAAAACACACATCTTGAGCCAAAAAGGCTTGAGCCCGAAAGGCCAAGAGGAGGGGGAGGAGGGGGAGGAGGAGGAAAACAACTGTAAGCCTATGACTCATCAGCGATGTTGGACCCCCCCTTCCAAGCTCCGTCTTCAAGGGTTCATTACCACTGAAGGACCTCTGCGTCGTGGGGAGACAACCATTTGAAGATCCTGAAGCGTGCCAACACCATTCTTGGGACTCCAACGCCACAAATCAACCTGGATGTGGCGATTTGACGAATCGTGCCAGAGCACCATTCCTGGGACTTCAACACCGCGAATCAACGTATCTGCTGCGCCCTCACAAACCTGAGCCCTTGCACAACACAAGTTATGGTACGTTGACCATCGGAATTCGTGGAACGTTTGCACACGCCTGAATCGAATGTGCGCGGCGTTGAAGCGAGCGAAAACAACATTTTGGGAAGGAACCGCCCCCAGCCCGCGAAGCCTTTGAGATTTTGTAAAACGAATGCCCGCGGCGCCAAGGCGAAAACGACATTTTGAAAACGTCCTGCCCTCAATCCGGGGAGCTCCTGTCATGTTCAAAAGGAGTGCGCGCGGCGCGAAAGGCGAGTTACATTTTGAAAACCACCCGCCCTCAATCCGTGAAGTTCCTGCACATTTTTTAAAAAACGAATGTGCGCGGCGCGAAGGCGAGGGCCACATTTTGTAAACCGGCTGCCCTCAATCCTTGAAGCCCTTGCGCATTTTGAAAACGAGCGCGCGCAGCGCGAAGGCGAGAACCGCATTTTGAAAACGACCCGCCCTCAATCCGTGAAGCAGCTGCCGCTGCTAATTTCTAAGGTTCCAGGTCGTAGATGGGAGGACCTCTCAAACGAAACGCCTGGCCCATCCTTTCGACCGGCCTCGTGGTGCGACCGGGGAAAATTATGTATAGGAAAGAGAAAACAGGAGGAGGAGGAGGAGGAGGACCAATGTAATCTCAAGAACCATCAATGATGTTGAAATACACCCTCCCTCCAAGATCCGTCGTCATTGGCCCCTACAAGGGGTCATTTCCACTGAAAGGAATGCCCCGTTGGGGAAACCGGTGCGAGAATCTGAAAGCGTGCCAGAACACCATTTCAAGGACTTCAACGCCACGAATGAACCTAACCTGACTGTTACGCCTTGGCGATCCTGAGTCGTGCCACAACACCATCCCTGGGACTTCAACACCGCGAATCACCGTAACTGTTGCGCTCTGACAGTCCCGAGACGCTCCAGAACAATCTGGTACGTTAGCCATGAGAACCAATAGACTTATGGCAAATGCTTGAAACGAACTTGCGCGGCGCCTAGACGAAAACAACATTTTCAAAAAAAAAACGCCCTCAATTCATGATGACCTGGGACATTCTTCAAACGAATGTGCGCCGCACTAGTGCCAGAACCACATGTTGAAAACCACCCGCCCTTCATCCTTGAAACTCTTGCAATCTTTTAAACAGAATGTACGTGGCGCTGAGGCCAGAGCCACATGTTGAAAGCGACCCGCCCTCAATCCGTGAAGCTCTTGAAGTCGTTTAGACATATGCGCGCGGCGCTAGGGCGAGAACCACATGTTACAAATCACCCACCTTCACTTTCTGACACTCTTGTGCATGTTCAAAACGAATGTGCCAATGCTAAAGCGAAAGCAAATGTTGTCACCCCGCCCTTCAACTCTTAAGCTCTTCCGTTGTTTACGACGAGTGTGCGCGGCGTTAAGGCGAGAACCACACTTTGAAAACGACCCGCCTTCAATATTTGAATCTGTTATCGTTTTTCAACACCAGGGTCATACATGGTGAGGAAGTCTCAAGAGAAACGCCTGGCCCGCCATTTCTACCGGCCTCGGGATGCGACAGGGAGGAGTTATCTATAAGGATAGGGGATGGAGGAGGAGGAGGAGGAAGAGGAGGAGGAGGTGAAAAATGAGGAGAAGGAGGAGGAGGGGAGACAGAAGAAGAGGGGGCAGAGGATGGAGGCAGGGAAGGATTGGGGGTGGAGGAAGAGGAGGGGGGGTGGAGGATGATGGGGGAGGAACACGGGGAGGAGGATGGGGGGGGGAGGACTGGGGGAGGAGAGGAGGAGGGGGAGAAGGGGGGAGGAGGGGGGAGGGAGGGGGAAGCGGGAGGGGGCCCGCCGCGTCGAGCACCCACAGAGCCCCAGGCTCGAGCAACAGGCAGCCGCCGCACACCGCTGAGGCGAAGATGCAGGCAAGCGCCGAGGCCCACGTTATCCTGCAGGAGGGGCGGTGCGGGGTCGGCTACACGCAGCGAGTGGCCCTTGGCAAGAGCGAACTTTGGTGCGCGGCTTCAGGCCCAGACCCCGTCGCATCTTGAAACAAGACTGCCTTAGGGCCCTTCGTTGTTTTTGGTTTCTGGGGGTCCTTACTGGGCCGCGGGACTGTCAAACAACGACAGAGGATGAAAAGTCGGTTCCTGGGAAGGGGTCCAGGCCTCTGGAGGCCCACGCTATGGGCAAATCATAGCGTCTGGGGGCCGGGGGGGGGCCCCGAGGGGACTTTGCGGCGTCGCGGGGTGGTCAGCACCAAAGGCTACTCTGGCGAAGGGTCAATCCTGCGCGTAGCCGATGGGGGAGAACACCCTCGGTCCTGATTGACTTCTGGTCTCGTGGGTCTGTCTTCGGGGTCCTCGTGGGCCCTCTTGGGCCGTACCGGGGGCCCCTTGGGCCATCTTCGGGCCATGATAGGGGGTCTGGGGCCTTCTGGGAATCTTGTTTGGGCCCTCCTGGGCAGCTGCTCCTGGGGCGTCTCGGGTGGCAACTTAAATCTCTGTGAGGCTTGCCAGGGCCTGTTCTGGCCCATCTTGGGGCCCTCGTTGGCCGTCTCGGTGGGCTCGTGAGGGCCTCTCGGGCCAGGATCTTAGGAGGACCCGAAGGCGGGGCCGTACTGGGCCCGACACGTGGAGAACGTGGAAAAACTTGAAAAATTAATGGTTGTGGCTTGTCTTTTCGCCTCGGGGTGCCGTCATCGGGGTCCTCCTGGGCCCTCTTGAGCCGTCCCAGGGGCCTCTTGGGCCGTCCTGTGGACATATTGGGAGTCTCGGGCCGTCTTGGAGCTCGCTCTGGTGCCTGTTGGGCAGAGCTCCTAGGGCACTCTTGGGGCTGTCCTGGGGGCCACGGGGAGCTCGACCCTCCTCGAGGAGGACGAAGACGACCACGGCGGCGAGCTCTGGTCCTCCACTCGCTGCCCCCGAGCTCGGGCAGCTGCTCCACCGGGCTCCTGAACAACGCGTCCGCTCTGTCGACGGCGCCGTGTCGGGGACGCGCGGCCTCCTCCACGCACCGAGGAGGAGGGGAGGCCCAGGGGAGGGGGAGGGGGGGGGTTCTCCTTCTCCTCCTCCTCCTCCTCCTCCTCCTCCTCCTGTGCTGTCTTCCTTTTCGATCTTCCTCCTCCCCCAACCCTTTCCCTTGTAGGTTCAACAGTTCTCAACAGCTTCGGCAAGTTTGATGGCCATCGTTCTGTAATCCTGAAGCGTTTCAACACGGACGGATAGCGCATCAACTTCAAAACAGGTCTATCGCTGGACACTTCCTTTCACTTTCTGATCATACTTCTTCGCGTCTCTTCTAAGGCTACAAATGGGCAGTGGTTCCTGTACCGAGCAAGGTCTCGCCAGAGCTTCGGGCCCACTAAGCGCTCGTCGATCAACGGCGGGCCTGTCGGGAGTCATGAGGAAGTGACCTAGGGGACGGCAGCACGTAGTACAGCATCGTTGATCCGTCCTGGGCTGGTCCTGGTCCTGGTCCTGGTCCTGGTCCTCCTCCTCCTCCATTCCTTTTCCTTATGACTAACTCTTCCCTGTTGCACTCCCAGACTTGTGCTGGCGGGCGTTTCGCTTGAGATCGCCTCACCGTTCCGGACCCGGAAGCTTGACATCTGCAGCAACTTCAAGGACGGAACGGGTCGTTTCCAAAATATGGTTCCCGCCCGCCGTAGCGCAGCGCACGTTCGTCGTAAAACTTTGCAGCACATTCACGGACGGAGAGCAGCCCGTTTTCAAAATGTGGCTCTCGATTTAACGCCGCGCACGGTCGTACTATAAGTTTGCCTCTATGTCAAGGATGAAGAGCGGCTCCTTTTGAACATGCCACTGTCGTCCTAGCGCCGCGCACGTTCCTCTTGAACATTTGTAGCAGTATGAAAGATTCGCATGGTTGAAGTCCTAGGATCGATGCTCTGGCACGGTTTCGGATAGTTAGGGCGCGACAGTCAAGTTGAGTCGCACCGTTGAAGTCCCACAAATTGGTTTCTGGCACGGTTTAGGATTGTCAGGACGTAACAGTCACGCTGATTCCCTGCATTGAAGTCCCAGGAGTTGCGCTCTGGCGCGATTGAGGATTCTCATACGATTGTCTTCCAATGGGGTACTTCCCGCAACGGAGACGAATTCTTGTCAGGACCTATGACAAGGGAACTTGGAGGGTCGGTTGATGGCAATACCCTGGTCCTCCCTCACATCCTCCTCCTCCTCCTCCTCCTCCTTCTCCTCCCTCCTCCCTCCTCCCTCTCCTGCTCCTACTCCTCATGCTCCTACTCCTCCTGCTCCTCCTCCTCCTCCCGCTCGCCCGCCCGCCCGCCCGCCCGCGCGCCCGCTCTCCCACCCTCCTTTCCTCTCCCTCCCTGCATCCCTCCCCCCCGCCCCTTCCCCACCCCCGACTGGACTACCGCACTTACCGCAGTACACCGCCGTGCCTCCTCGTCGCCCTTCCCACCTGCTCCCTTCACCCTCCCCGGCCATTGAGAGGGCCGGCAAGTAGGGGCAGAAGGGAGGATCGAAGCCGATGCTGTGGGGTCTCCTGGGGCCCCTGCTGTGGCCACGGCTGGATCCGCGCGGAGGCGGAGGCGGAGGCGGAGCGGAGCGGAGCATCGAGGATCCGTCCGACGGGCGAACAGACCACGGCGACTGGGCGGCCTCGTCGCCACCCACACGCCCGCCCGCAGGGGGAGCGTGGGAGACGACGGGACCGTCCACGGGGGCCGGACGAACTCGTCGCCTCCCACACGCCCGCCCGTAGGGGTACGCCCTGGGAGACGACGAGCCCGTCCAGCGGGCGGAGGAGGAGGCGGCGGAGGAGGAGGAGGCGGCGGAGGAGGAGGAGGCGGAGGAGGAGGAAGAAAGATCTTTCGGTGGCCGAGTCTCGCCGAAGGCAGCAACAGACGGATAAACAAACGATGTGGCACAGGACTTTACGTAATGCCACTGATCTGCTCAACCAGGCTGATGCGCCGCCTCCAAAAGTTGGTGGGGGCCTCATTGGCTTCACTGACACCCAGGGACCTAAAAACTCGCGCCCCTGCGGACAGAAGTTTGCTGATGGACAATATTTGGGAGCACAAGCTCGCGCAGGCCGCTAATTCAGGAGTGGTCGAAGATGCGCCGCCTAGAGCCATCCAGAACGACATCAATTGTACGAACACGGCTTTCTCCGTGCCCACGCGCATTCACAAAGTCCATGCTCCTCCCGCGCGCCCTTCTCGATGTCCACTGTCGAACCAGCCGACGACCCCCAGGACTCTGCGTCCTTCGAGTTCGTCCCACGGTAGCTCGCAGAGTTCCGAACTCCCGCTTTGCGACTTCACGACGCGTTTCGCGAGCCCGTCGGCACTCTCTGTGCATGTGATATACCCAGTCCAACCCGGCACCGCACGAGCGAGCTCTCCCAGTCTGCCAAGCTCGGTGTGACGACGTCCTACTCCAGGCCAATACTGGCTTCATTCATTCGAACTGCGAGTTTAGCCAATGGGCCACACTCGCGTTGTCGCCCTCGGTGGCCACCCGGATGCCATCAAACGCGGTGCGCTCCAATGGTGTACGCATGTCGTGGGTGCCGCTGGCGGCTGTCTCCCACCGTGGGCGCATCTAGGGAGGAACATGTCGCCGCTCCTCAGCCTGGCGGTTTCGCCACTTGTCGCCCGTGCTCTCGCGCGCAACCCTGGGGCCCAGGCTACGCCGCACTTCTCCATCGCCATCGTCACGAACTCCTCCTTGCAAATCTCCAAACTCGTGCCTGCTGCCGCATCGAGCCACCCAGCGCCCAGCGTGTCGACGAAGATGCTCTCCGGCTGAGCACGTGGAGACCAACCGCGACGGTGTTGCCAAGGCTCCTCTTCCTGAGCCACGTCCTGGAACCGTTTGCCTGCCTGCTTAGACATGCGGAAAGGAGGAGGATGAGGAGGAGGACGAGGAAGAGGAGGATGAGGAGGAGGAGGAGGAGGAGGAGGAGACAAGGAGGAGGAGGAGGAGAGGACAAGGAGGAGGAGTAGGAGGACGACGATGAGGAGGAGGACGACGATGAGGAGCTCGGCAACGGCTGGAAAAGTGCTGCCACATTCGCGTGCATACAACAACTCAGAAGAGTCACGGGTCCAGGTCCCCGGAGGACGGCACAATTAACCGACGGCGCTCACGCGCCCGAGCCCCGAGAGACCCGGCCTCACCTCGCGAGCTGAACCCAAACAGTGCAAGGCCTCGCTGGAGGTCGACCCCGGCCCAGCCCAACCGATCCCCCCCCCTCCCGACTGGGAGACCAAAGAAGCTCTGGATCGCGGCGATTCAAGCGAGGGCGGGTCGTCCAGACCCACCTTGCACACAAGGTGGCCACGCGCAGGCTCCGAAAGGACAGTGGCCCGAGCCACCCCACAGCCCTTCTTGGAAGGGTGGCAGCAGCCCGGCAGGATCCACGCAACCTGCCCCTGCCGCCCAGCTGTGCGATGACCTGCGCGGTCCTGAGAAACGGCCGTCTTGCCGCCATGCCCACCTACGGCGCAAAGCCGCATGTGGTGCAAGAGGCAAGGGCACCCTGAGGGGCCCCCGACGCGCCAGACACCGAAACCTCAAACAACAAAAGAGGGCCTCCTGCAGGCCCCGCGTGGAGGTCGGGCCACTCGGGTCGAGCGTCTGGCCCCGACTCCTCCAAGATCGAGTGGCCTCTGGCAGGCCACGCGTGGAGGTCGGGGCCATCAACTCTCGCATCTCCCACCGCCGAACCCTCCCCGCCCCCGCCCTGCCGGCCCGTCCCACTGCCCCCCCAAAGGAGGAGGAATATCAGGAGAGGGGGGAAGGTCCCGGCAGGTGTGCTTAAGTCAGTCAATGCCGACATGGTCAAGCTGCTTGCTGTCACCAATCCTCGCTTCCTGCTCCGCCAGAGACTCGCGTAGCTGTCCAGCTAGCTCGAAGCATCCACCAACAACGGCCTGATCGGCCTCGCCGATCCTACCCAGGGCTGCGCCTCGTTTGGCATAAAGGTCAGCAGCCTTGTTGCCGAGGTACTCGCGCCGACTGAGGTCCTCGCTTTCTACGTCGCGAAACGCGCAGTGGGCAAACACTTTATGCCGCGAAACTCTTTCAAGCTTGTCGAAAATATGCTGCCGTGCGTGGGAGCGAGCGTCGCCAGGATAGACGGCCGAGGGGTCCGAAACATCGCCCACGGCCCCCGTGCAGACGCCGCACAATTTGGCCCTGGGAAAGCGGACGCGTGCCGAGCCAGAGAAATGACAGCGCAGACTTCGTTATCGCGGTCGACCTGAGCAGGGGCCACGCCAAGGGGCATTCGCCCCCAAATCGCGCGGTCAACATTCCGCCGCCCGTCCGTCGCGGTCACCGCCCATCCCGCCGCTCTCATCCTAATTGGAGCAGGCTCGAGCCATGGCCCGTCGCAGAAAATCGGACCCCTTTCCCCGAGCACCAGTCCCTCGGCGGGCCAACTGCGCTGCCGAATTGCCGCGTCATCGGAAGGCTCGGTGTGGCGCGAAAACCAACTGGGGGGGGTCGGGGAATACGCATCTGGCAAACAACTCCTTCGCCCTAGATGAGAGAAACCGAGTCCTTTCCGCCACCCCCAGGTCAGGGCTGAGGACATATCGCCCTCAGCCCTCGCGAGCAGGGCAATCAAACCGACGGCGGAACACGGCGTCAGAGAGCGCGTGGCAAGCGAGGCAGGTGGCCGATGCGTCCTGGCAATCATCATGGAAACGCTGATGGCGCCAGAATGAGTTGGCGATGGGACTCCTCGAGCAGTGTCTGTAATGATCGGTCCAGACAGAGCCCTGCCTCGAAATCAAATCCAAAGGGCTTGAGACGCGCGGGGCCATGCAACTCAGCGTCGAAGTCGCTCTGCCGAACCTGCTCTTCAGAAACGAATGCTTCCTCGCGCGCCCCATGCGCCCGAAGGGCGAGGGAAACGGGGGGGTGAACCCCGGGTTCTACCCATGTGATCATGGGCATAACGCTGGGAACATCGAGTTTCCATCCAATGCGAGCCCGCGCGAGCATCAGAGCAGCGACAAGTTGTTTGGCGGAGCCCGAAGGCTTGATTATACCAGCAGTCCGGAGCGCGTCTTCATAGGCACAGAGGAGATACATCAATTAGAGCTGCCCTCTCATCGCGCCCTACTGTTTGATTCGGTCCGTCGATGGGGCCCATGCGCACCTCGCGTCAGCAGCTCGTTCTCGCCTAATCGGCAGAGGCTCCGACCACTCCGTCGCAATCCTGGTCGCGATGGGGCCGGGCTTTTTTTTGGGGGGGGATCGGACAGAAAGGGAAGCAGATGGACGCGTCAATGCGACCCCCTGTCGGGGCCCGCTTGCCCCCGGGGGGCCTCTTTCGCGCAGGAGCTCGTGCGCGTGGTTCAATTTGGGGCCCCACTGGGGGTCCGTCGTTCGTCTCGTCGGGGAAAAATCGGGCAGCCGAAGAAATCGCGCCCGAGCGTGGCGTGAGCTTCGCCGCGCCAATGGCGCTGCGGAGGCAGGCTGAAACTCTCCTTGCGCTGTCTGTCTCTTGCCCATGCCCCTCCGGCCCGCGTGGCGCGGGCGGCGCGTGCGCGCCTGGGGCTCTTGATCGCCGACTTGGCTCCGCCCGCGCACTTGCGAATGGGGCGAAGCCGAGCCGCTTCGTCGCCGTGGCAAGCGTCTCGATGGTGCTCCAGATGTCCACGCGGCTCGCCACTTCTCGGCGCCTCGGTTCGCCTGCTCGCGCGCAGACGTCGGATGGGGCCCGCGACGAATCAACGAAGGATCCTTGATCGTCGCCGACCGCGGCGCTAGACAGCGCGCCCCAAAGGACGCGGCCGCGCGTCAGCCAGAGAACTTCGAGAGGCCCCCGAACTCCAGCCAGCCCATGTCTTCCTGTCCAGTGGCCCGTCTCTCAGAGCTTGCCAGGCCCGTTAAGTCCCCCCAGAGGGCGCGCGCTGGTCCCGTGCGAAGGGGGAGTAGGCCCAGAGGGGCTTGCATGTGGCGCGATAGATGGCGCCGCGCACGCAGTCCTTCTAGGTGGCCAGGACGAGGGCGAGGGATGCGCTGCCAGATGAGCGCCCGCAGGCGCGCCGGCGATCGGGCGCGCTCTGGCCAACTCCTGAGGGGGCGCGCCAGCGGCGGCCACTCCATGGCCAACCGAAGGAAGCAAGCCTGTGCGCCATGGCGCGGTAGCATGCGCACCCGCCCCACGGCGTAGCGCGCGTAGATCGCGGCAGCCGGTCTCGATGCTTCAATGACCGCTAACTCGCATGCTTGCGAGCAAGTCGAACCCCTTGCAGTTCATGTCTTGTTTTTCTAGCAACATTTTTTAGCCGCGGGCCTGAGCCGATCAGCTTCGTCTTTTGATCGAGCCAGGGCCCTTCAGGTGTTGGCGAGCAGCCTGGCTTCCCAGGCTTGATTGTCATGCCCGGCTTCCTGGCGTCCTGCGCGAACGTGTGCGCGGCGCCGCGCAGGTTGCGGGAGTCACTCGCGCGCGTGCTAAATCCAGCGAATCCATTGGATCGTGCTGTTATCCACCAGCGCGCGTGGCATGAATCGGTGTAATTGCTGCGCGCGAGTGCTATCGCACGATGCGTGATGATGGCGAATGATGTGGCGGCGTGCGTGCATCCAACGAATGACCGTTGTATTGCGCGCGTAGATGTGCCCCGACATCCGTATGCCTTGACGACCCTGGGCCAGACGTGCGGCCCAAGAAGCAGCCATGCCAAACGCAATGGATACTGCAATGCCTTCGCCTCTTCCATCAATGCTGGAAAAAAGCGCACAGTCCCGAAACGCTTCTACATGTCTTGCACAAGTGGCACGGCGTGGTCTGCAACGTGGTGAACCACCTCGGCCTGGAGATTCTGTTCATATGCTGAATACGTTTAGGTACCTTAATTCGTCTCCGATATGTTCATATGCTCATATGCTCATGTGCTGAATACGTATCCCCTTATGTTTCCTTTCAAGTGCGGACTACTATGCGTGTTTACCCACTGACGTGATACCCGTCTACGCACTTTTGACCACGCACGTACAGTACTTCCACAACCGTGATCAAACTTTTGCCTCCATCTGGTTTGCTGAAATGAACCGTTTCATTCACGTCTTTGATTGTCGGCCAAACAAGCATGCGCTCGCAAATCATATACAATATGCCTGAACATTCAAGTCCGGCGCCTGGTACCGACCAGAACCTGCGAGGGTACATTCTTGTGTAGCTGGCTGCCGTTTTCCATGCAAATCTCGGGGAAGCTTCACGGATATTGTCAAGTAGATAATAGGCAAAGTGTCACAACCTTTAACACTTTTTGGTATTCGCGTACGTTCCGGGTCGTGGCATTTCCAACCTTCCTCCTATTTCACATTTCATCAGAAACCTCCTCCTCCCGCCGCCATTTTGAGGGGGTGAAGCAGCACGCGTGACAGCCGTGGGCATGCACGGCGCACATTCCATCGACTGTTTGGTGATCTGGGGCCGCACCACCTAACCACCAGGAAAAACTGTCGACCTCAAGGCCCATTGCTACTGTCTGAGAAATCCGGATCAGACCGGAGAAAAAACAATCCGAATTTGTTGTTTGGGATATAGGGCTATGGGGCTACAGGGCTATAGAGCTATAGGGCTATAACGTTATGGCGAGATAGGGCTATAGGGCTATAGGGCTTCAAGGCTAAAAGGCTATAGAGAATAAGGCTACAGGGCTATAGGGCTATAGCGCTTTTTCGCTATAGGGCTATAGGGCTATAGGGCTGGAAGGCTACAGGGCTATAGGTCTATAGGGCTATAGGGCTATAAGGCTGTTGGGCTAAAGGGCTATAGGGTTATAGGGTCATAGGGCTATAGGGCTATAGGGCTACAGTGCTACAGGGCTACAGGGCTATAGGGGTATTGGGCTATAGGGCTGTAGGGCTAGAGGGTCATATGGCTATAGGGCGAATGGGCGATGGAAAATAGCGCTACAGGGCTATAGGGAAATAACGCTATGGCGCTGTAGGGCTATATGGCTATAGGGCTATAGCGCTATAGGGATATAGGGCTGTAGGGCTATAGGGCTATAGGGCCATAGGGCAATAGGGCTATAAACCTATAGGGCTATATGGCTATAGGGCTATATGGCTATTGGGCTATAGGGCTAGCGGGCTACAGGGTTATTAGGGCTATAGGGCTATAGGGCTGTAAGGATATAGAGATATAGGGCTATAGGGCTATAGGGCTATAAGGCTATAGGGCTATAGGGGCATAAGGCCATTGGTCTATAGTGCTATAGGGCTATAGGGCTATAGGGCTATAAGGCTATAAGGCTAGGGCTATAGGGGCTATAGGGCTATAGGGCTATAGGGCTGTTGGGCTATAGGGGCTATAAGCCTATAGGGCTACAGGGCTACAGGGCTATAGGGCTATTAGGCTAGGGCTATAGGGCTATAGGGCTATGGGGCTAAAAAACTATAACAATAGATGGCTCTAGGGCACCCGGGCACCCGGACACCCGGCCTGGCCACCGAAATCGGCGGCCCAGCTTACCTAACCATATGAATCCGCTAGGACCCCTACAGAGGCAAGCTCTGATTGGGGAACAACCCAGCAACCCAGCGGTTCGGGTTCGGTGGACCCGCAGGAGCGCTGCTGGAGCCAAGGGAGGGGGGGGGAGGGGCGAGCGCGAAGAAGCGCGGAGACGTGCAGAGGTAGGGCAACGGTAAAGGGGGCGCACGGGCGGTGCTCTGGACCCCCGTCCTCACCCGCCTGGCCAGCTCAACAAATCCAGGGTGCAGCGGCGTCGACTCCTCTTTCGCTTGCACGATACACAAGGATACTAACAAACGCGGGTCCTGGACCCAAGGACATTCCCGGGGACCAGCTTGTCATCTGGCTACACGCAAGAGCTACCTCATATGCAAGCGTAAGCTTTGGCGCGCGGCTTCAAGGGGTCACGGGGGGCCCAAATCTAATCGCGCAAGCCGATGCCGGGCGGGGCCCCTGTGGGCCCGCACCAAAGGTCAGTCTGGCGAAGTGCCCGTCCCTTCAGAACGCGTCTTCTTCATTGTGATCCCTGGAGGCGACTTGTACTTCCGCCAGGCTTCTGCAGGCCTCCGCCGAGAACCGCAGGTCAGCGTCTCGTTCCCTCGAATATGAAGGCCCCCCTTCTTTGGGCGCCCAATCGGCGCAGAGATGAAGTATCATCTGGCGGCTCGGCGCACCCGCAGGAGCGCTGCGAAGGCGAGGGGGCGAGCAAACGGACGCGCACACGGGAAGAGTTCGCGCGGACGGTGCTCTGCCTTGGGTCTCTCGGCGCGCAACGCGCCGCGATGGGGGCGAGACTGCCGCGTGCTCCAGCGAGGCGAGCCCGACCCGCGGTCTCATCTTTTCCCGTTCTCGAGGCGGGTCATTACCAAGAAGCTGGAGACACGCACGGCTGGATTTGAATGCGCAGCGTGCGGAGCCCGCTTGCTTCATACAAACGGTCAGGGTAGTCGTGGCTGGGCACACCAGGGCCGAACGCGGGAAGGCTTTGCGGCCGCGAGTGTAGCTATCCAGCTCCCACCCAGTCCTGCGATACCAAATGTGTCCAGCTTCCTGCACGTCTGATTACGTCTCGGGCAAGAGACTGGCAGTCATGCCATACGGTTCCCCAGAAAAGTCCCAGAGACCTGTACAGGGACGCGGATGACATTGACAAGTTGCGCCGAAAGGAGGATGTGAGGATCGTGATGTGTTTTTGCTTCATCTATTCTCCAGGGACACTGTACAGCCTCTGGTCACGGGTGGCCTTTCGGCCTCGACGCGGCCGCGTCATCTGATTTTGTTATACTGCTTCTTTGGACCCCGTCCCATTTCTTGCCCGCCATTGCCTTGCCGCACTGGCCGCTGCCAGTCCTGGTGCTGCTCCTGCGGAGGAGGAGGACGAAAGGGAGGATAAGAAGGAGTATGAAGAGGAGGAGGAAGAAGAGGAGGAGAGGAGGGAGGTGCACAAGGAGGAGGGAGGAGAGCGGAGGGAGGAGGGATCAGGGGGAGGAGGGAGGAGGCGGAGGAGACGGAGGAGCAGGAGGAGGAGGAGGAGAAAGAACGATGATGATGATGATGCTGATGATGGTGATGATGCTGATGCTGATGATGATGATGATGATGCTGATGATGATGATGATGATGACGATGATGATGATAATGCGGAGGAAGCTGCCGCTGGAGCTGCTGATGGTGGTGGTGGTGGTGAGGATTTTGCTGCTGCTGCTGATGAGGACGACGACGGAGATGAAACTGATGATGTTGATGATGATGATGCTGATAATGATGAGGATGATGCTGATCATGATGATCATGACGATGCTATTAACTAGTGGTGATGATTTGGATGAGGATGGGGATGGGGAAGGGTATCTTGATGATAATGCTGCTGATGATAAAAAAGGAAGATACGGAGTTCTTAACCGTAAGCGTGGTACCAGACTATAGTACCAAACTAAAGTACCAGACTGAAGTACCGGACTAAAGTACCAGACTAAAGTACCAGACTAAAGTAACAGACTATTCACACTAAGCTACCAGACTCATGTACCTTAGTCTGGTAGTCTAGTCTGATCAGTCTGGTACTTTAGTCTGGCACTTTAGTCTGACCAGTCTGGTACTTTGGTTTGGTACCTTAGTCTGGTTGTTCATTATGATTTGTCTGGTACATTAGTCTGGTACTTTTGTCTGATTAGTCTGGTGCATCAGTCTGGTACATTCGTCTGATTAGTCTGGTAATTACATTAGTCTGGCACATAAGTACGGTACTCTAGTCTGGTACCGCTAGTCTGGCACCACAAGTCTGGTGCTTTAGTCTGATTCGCCTGGTACTTTAGTCTGGTACATGAGTCTGGTACTTTAGGCTGGTATTTTAGCATGGCACTTTATTCTGGTACTCTAGTCTGCTACGATAGCCTGGTACTTAGTCTGGTACTTTAGTCTGGTACCGCCAGTCTGGTACACTGGTCTGATACACTGGTCTGCTGCATAGTCTGGTACTTTAGTCTGGTACTTTAGGCGGGTACTGCACAGACTAAAATACCACAATACAGTACCAGACTAACGTACCAGACTACATTACCAGACTAAAGTACCAGACTGAAGTATCGGACTAAAGTATCAGACTAATGTATCAGACTGATGTACCAGAGTAACCAGACTAATGTACCAGACTAAAGTACCCCAATATGGTACTCTAGTCTGATTAATCTGGAAGTTTAGCCTGGTGACTTAATATGGTGCCAGTAGTCTGGTACTTCAGTCTGGCGCTTTAGTCTGATTTGTCTGGTACATTAGTCTGTTACTTTAGTCGGGGTAGTCTGGTGCTTTAGTCTGGTACTTTAATCTGGTACATCAGTCTGGCACTTTAGTCTGGTACCGCTAATCTGG